CTAGTTGTGCATCCTGCGCTTGTGTTGAATTCTTATTTTGACAGGCTTTTTTTTGAGTATGCATATCTCGTTCTTTCCAAGTAAGTTGGAAGCACTTTCACATTAAGTCACAGACTGACTATAGTTACTTTTGTTGTATCTTCTATAGTGAGATGTGATGTATAAGTGACTTACCTCAACCAGGATGTTTATGGCTTGGCCCTGAGCTGAGTTTAGCAACAGGTTTAGCAACTTAATAACAGCTCTGAGAACTGATGGTCATAGACCCTCACTTCCTTTATAGCCTCCTGACTATTTTAAGTGACTCTCAACAATGTTTATTCCATTTTATATTCTCTATTATCATGGTAAAGGTTGCTATGTTAATTTCTACTTTCCAGAGTACTATAGAGGAGAATGAGTATAGGATCAATATCTTAATCTTTCATTATTTTGCCCCTATAGATCAAGATGATGTGGTAAGAAAAGGCAGAGATCCTTGGAACCTAAGTACTGTGGTTGTGGAAAGGTGATGTTGGAGAATGGAAGGACCTTTCGCAGTTGGGGTTGGGTTTGAGAGGAGTTGGGGCATTTTTTAGAAATACCTGAAATGTGTCTCTTTTCCCAGGTGACTGATAGAATAATATTTAGTGTGCTCCATGCCTTTCATACTGAGGTTTTACTAAAGGAGAAATTTTAGCCTGATAAGGAGAGGTAGGTGCTAGTGTAACCTCACCTGCTTTTTCTTCTATATAATTTTTACATTTCTCTTTATTATTTTGGAAAATGTGTGAAAGTGGAACTTTTTTTTTTTTAACTTAGAAATAGTGTTGCATTCTGAGTAATTTTAATGTCAACACGGCTGTAAGGTAATGCTCTGTTTAACACCACTCTAAAATGATGATTACAGAACTGACTACTGGGATTGTAAACACATGCTGTACTGGTCTGTAAGCCTACTGTGGGTGCTGGCTGAGTCCTGTTTGTTCTTATATCCTAGTGCCTTCCAATAATGCCTTACACATAACAGTCCTCTTTTTTTATTTAGCTCATCCATAGGTAACCACTGTAATTACAAGTTCTAGGTGAACTTCAGACCTCAGTTTGCTCCTTGCATTCTTTCCTAGTAGAGAGCCTGGGCAGGATGTGGGTGGAAGGAAGAAATTTTTACCTCTTCCTCCTCTCTTATCTTCCAAATCCTCCTGTACCTTCTTTTCCAAGTCCTCTAAATCCTCTCCTGTTTATTTTCTAAGTTTTCTGCATTATTTAAAATATAGAGCTTTTATATAATTCTTTTGCTGTATGAAGTTTTGCTTGTTTTTGTCAATTTGCTTTTGATTTCCCTTTTTATGATTTAATTGTAAATGCTTAGAAAATTCTTCCTTGGGGGGGTTCAGAGAGGAGAACACATATAATTATTTGCTTGGGTAGCTAAAAATATCTCTGAAAGAGGCCACACAGGAAACTAGGGACATTATTTGCTTTTAAGCAGGGAAACTGGGTGGCAGGAGTGGGAAGGAGGTCTTGCACTTTTGTACCTTATGAATTCGGTATGGTGTGACTGATAGTCCTTGAATACCTATGGAAATAGAGATGGAGAAAGTGCTTGAAAGCATGGGAGAAAAGGCACCAAAAAATCTAGTTTAGTAAGAAGTATAAGGATCATTGTTTATGCTTTTCTTTTTAATTGTGAAGAAACAGAGAAAAGAGGACCTGCTCTGCTTAATGCGTAGGGGCTTCCAGTATCTTTCATTCTGTGTTTTGTACATGGGAGTTTGTGACCAATTTTGAGTGTGCTAATCCTTTATTGTGTAATTACCTATGTTTATTCGTTAGAAATCTTATACAATTCCAATTGAATGGGAGGTTTTTATATAATATGTATTTTATATATCACAGTAGAGAAACTAGAATGAATGGGATCATTTCTTTCTCTGGAGTGGAGACTTTGCTCTCTTGTCTGTTGCTTCATGGCTAAGCAGTAAGTCTGACCTCTTTTCCCTGAGTCAGAACAGAACTAAGCCAGACCT